CCTGACATCACCCAACGGCAGTGTACTCTGAATGGATCCTGCTGCAATGAGTGGGAAGAGAAGGGCATGAGGGGGGGAAGAAGAAAGCTTTCCACATCAAAGGCAATAAGGTACCCTTGTTGAGAGCTTCTCAATTAGCTTAAATGCTCTGGCCTGCGACAGCAGGTCCAGAGTTAATATCCTCATTAGTTTTTCTAATCTAGTTAGGTATAATATTTTAAAATGGATGTAGCAGATTCCTAAATGCTTTCCAAATGCAAATCCAGAGATTTGAATCCCAGCAAAATCCAGCTTCATCTTTCTCTACAACTAAAAAAATTTTCCTGAAGTCAACAGCAATACTGTCAGCTACTGGAAAGCTCAGCTAAGACCTCTGGGCCATCTGGGAACAGGCTGTCACAAGGTCTACAAGACACCAATTGAAGAAAAATAAATAAATCCCAGGCCTAGTATGGTGCCAAGCACTATGCTAAATATATTTCTAATGAAAGGTGTATCACACAAGACAAACTGATTCTCAGTATGCAGCCTGGTCCATTATCTCAGCCCTAAATTAGAAGTGTTATGAAACAGGTATTTAAACTCTATAATTTCCCTCTGCCACTTTTCCTTATTTATAGCTGCCTCAAACTCAGACTTTTAACAGAACACGTCTTGTAACTCACAATAAGCACATAAGAAGGACTTCATGCTGCAGCTACTTCCCTAATTGACTCCTGTTCTCAGAACTGAGGCACACACAGGCTATTGGCGCTTACCCTGCTGAGATCCCTGCTGCCCACAGCTGACCCTGTGCGTGCTTCCACCTCCCTGCAAATCCTTGCCCTCGCCAATCTGCAGCTGTCTGTCCCAATGTTAGAGCAAATCACATGTTGTAAATGCAGCATTTATTGTACACTGACAGAAACAAATGCTGAGCCTGGTTAGGTGCTGGGCAGTGACTCCCCACCCAGTACAGAAAGCCCTGGTCTTGGACTGAGCTCCCAGGGCTGACAATTAGAAGGAGGTTTCCAACCACAAGACCTGCCAAGTTCAAATGCAGCTTCCAACAAACCACAGTGGAATGCAAAAAGAAAAAACCTAACTGTTTTTGTCCTTCAGTGGTTTGTTGTATTTGAAAAGAGAAGAAAGATGTTATGTTTAAGGCTTACCACAGGAGGGGACCAGACAGAGCAAATCAGAAGGTTCCATTCAGCTCTGCTTTTGGTTTGAGGTCAGGAGAAAAATACAGAATTTCTTTTACTTTAAGTAGTGATTATTTACAAGTGCATGCATAATGATCTGTTTGGGACCCTGCTTGCTCCTTAAAAAAAAAGAGAGAGAAAAAAAGATACTTCTATTCATGTATTAAACATGGGCAGAACTGGCTTTTGCTAGCAGACACTCCAATACAAATGGCTCCCTGTCACTGCTCTGGGCAAGGAGCTTGTTTGTATACTTGGAGCTTCCATCCAGAGCAGGGGAGGCACAGGGAAGAGGAAAGGAGATACTGGGTCTGCAGGTGTGTTATAAAGATACAAAGGAAAAAAAAATAAAGTTAAGAACATTAAAAAATATTAAATGGTCCTTAATTATTTTGCAGCCATTCAACAGAATGTACAGTTCTGGCTAGCTCTATTTCTGAGAAGCACGATTGTACTGATATTCCCTTTAGTTTTACGGATGCTTGGACAAAATCTTATTTTAAATAGAATTCTTTGATAAGCTGTTGCCCAGACAACCCAGGGAATGCAAATACACACTGCCTCAAAATGAGAGTCAAAAGCTCTCAGCTTTTTGGAGAGGCAAAGAACAGAGCAGTGTACCTCGTTTTCAGCCAGAGGCTGACACAAGTGGAATATTTTTCCCTTCAGCAAAGGGATGTAGGCAGCAGCCTCCAAGAAAGCAGCAGGAAGCTGGCAGTGGATATAAGGCACTGCATTGATCCAAACAGAAGATCTCCTGTGAGAGAATACTTTTATTTATTCAGGCAGACTACATGGCTTGGCTGACTGGCACCATGACAAATACAAACATGGCAGCATTCTAAATGGGATGTCTTCCTGTTGAGCAAGGCTTAAAGCAAAAAGAAAAGAAGAAAAGAAAAGACTAGCCAGCACTCAGAAGCATCACTTCGTAACCTAATCACAAAACCCCCGTTGACAACTTCCACTGTGGAACAAGGAACCTGCTGCCAGCACATTTGTACATTAGCATACCTACAGAGGAAAATTAGGAGTTCAACTTCCCACAACCCTGGCCCTAACTCATTTTAGGATGAACTGCTTTGATGAGTCAAGGTGCTGTGGAAAACGAAACGCTACTTCTCCTCCTCTCCCCCCTCCAGCTTTGCTCATATAATCTACAAACCTCACATAAATGTCACAGCCCAACAATAAGGGCAGTGCATATGAAGACAACAGGAGACCGATCTTGAAGAGATTCCTCTCTGTGACAAACACAAAGGAAATCACAAGGAAACTGAACGTATTGTCAATATATACCTGTGAAACCTGTGGAGGTGAGTACCCTGCTAAAATAGACAGAAGTACTGTTTTGTATTGAAAGACAAAGATGTAGTCCCTCCTAGATTTCTCCCTGACTTCTCTTTTGGAGACTTCTTTGACACATCTTGCAATGTATGCACCAAGATAATACCAGAGGGTGAAAACATACATTTAACATCAAAGTTGACCTTACTTTTATTTACTATACTATATACTGTACTATTTATTCTGCTGCTTGACATAGAGGGCACTGCTAGATTTTGCTGAATGCTGGCTGTTGTGTATTATGCACAGAGAAAGGTGGGGATAGGTAAGTAGAAGAGTTGCATTTTCCCTGCCAGATTCATACAAAACAGAAACATAACAAGAAATGACCTGTAAAAGAAGTGGCAAAGACTACAACCCATCATACTACAGTTAGAATCACAGCCCTGAACTACCATGGAAGAAGTATCTGTGTGAAGCTAAAATTGAGTCAAGGACATAAATAATGAAATGAAAAAACTTAACAGAAGACAACCTACTAACTACAAACATCCAGACACATGCAGTTAAACCCAAAACCACAAACTTCTGATGTCCTCTTGAGAAAAGAGCTGCTAAGACCCATCGTAACATAATACATTAGCCCAGTTTTCTACACAAGACCATAAAACATTAACATGCCTCCACAAGACCTCCATCCTTCTGCATGCTATGCCTAGGAACAGTGCTCTCTAATGCCACACAGTCCAAATGAGACTGACTTCATTGTCATCTTACCACATTTTCCACATGCCTTGTCGGTTCCTTCACATAAAAGTTTTGTGGCTTTCTTTCCACAGCGCAGTTCCAGAAACACGAGCTTTAGCTGAATGGCAGAAACACCTTTTGTTTAAGAGAAACTCTACTAATTCTGATAATGTTAATTCTGGGAGGCCTCTGGCTTGCTTTTCTGTGAGCTTCTTGAAACTCTGCATGGCTGGACAGCTCATTCCTCACATAGAGGTGGGAGGAATGGAAGAGACGGCCGTTGATTTGGGCAAGGCCATAGCTCAAGGAGATGTGACACCAAGTTCATTTCAGGGACCACCACATTACTTCTGTGAGCAGAATAAAACCACCAGACTGAAGTTCAGAAGCCATTTTAATCACTTGGATGGAAGCACTCTACCTGAGAGACAGAATGACAGACTGCTGTAGGCATACAGCTGAGGTCAGCCTGTCTCAGCTGGCTCACATCACACAGGAGGTACAATAAATATGCATTCATTTGTTACCCTTCCTCCTCTTTTCTCTTGGTGAAGGAAAAGTAGGATATAAATGCCACTCAGAAACCACAAAACAAACAGACCCCCCACACCACATTCCGCTTTTCTGTCTGACAGCACGAGTTATTTTCTTATTTGTAAAGACAGTTCTGCAAGGAAAACGAAAGTTATCCTGCAAATTAGATCTGAAAGCAACAAAATTTCAGTGATAGAATACAAAAGTGACACCTTTTAGCACACCAGAGGTGGGCACATGCAGTACCAAAGTGGCTGTACTGGCTTTTGCTCGATGGGAACAAGACTGGTATGTCAAGCTACGCACAAAGGAGCAAGCAAAACTGCACAGCATTTTTCCACACCCACAGTTGTGCACAGTTTCTTTGGTCTGACAGTCACACAGACAGACTCAACACCACAGGTGTTGTTTCAGAAGTTCCACTGTGACTCCTGGCACACAGCAGACCTCCAACCCAGGCAAAGTTTGCTCCCTCGTGCAAACCTGTAGCCTGGAAAACAGCTGGCACTGCTTATTTCACACAGAAAACACCACCGGAGCCCAGGCCGAGCAGCAGGGTGAAGCCGCAGCCCGCCGGGCAGAGCCACCGCGACGAGACGGGCACTGCCCAGGGCCCACGGCGGCGGCCCCCGCCCGGCCTTCACACCCCAGGGCCATCCTCTCCAGCTCTGCCAGCCCAGCCCAGCCCAGCCCTTCCTCACCGTAACACCTCACGGCTGCGTCCAGCGGCGCTCAGGCGAAGTGCTGCCCCCAGCGGCCGCTCCCTGGTCAAGGAAAGCGGGCGGAGCGAGGAGAACACGTGCGCCCAGTGCCGAGGCTGCGGGCGGCCAAAATGGCGCCCACCGCCTTGAGGAGTGGGCTCGGCCAGTCAGGAGCGGGCGCCGCCGCGCGGAGGGGAAAACAGGCGGGAGCGGCCGAGGGGCTGCAGCACAGCCCTCCTCACAGGAGCTGCCCTGACCTTCCCCAGCGCAGACACCCCCAGCCATCCAGGAACAGCGATTTGGGCGCCGATCCCTTGTTGTAAATGCCCGTGCTGTTGCCTCTGGGGGAGTGTAAGATTGTGCATGCAGACCTGCAGTACAGTCACCTCGAAGGTTCCTAGAAATATGTCGTGTTTCCTCTCAGCTGTCATCTTCAAGTGCTGCAACGAGGGCTGTTTGCCTCTCTCCCTCTCAATGCCATTCATCGCAGCAGCCTGATTTATTTGCTGATTCTTAGGGCTGTGAATAATTGGTTTCTCAGATACTCTTAACATGAGGCATGCAGTCACTTTATTGGAGCAGGACCCGTCAGCCTTGCTGAGCAGACTGCAATAAACCAGTGCTCGCTGTTTGTGTTCTGCAGCTGCCCTTCAGCACAGCCCTGAGGAAGAGGAGAAGGTCCTGCGAGCAGTGGCAGAGCCAACACAGGCTGGGGCCGTGCCCACAGCCAGCCATCGGCCCTCAGTCGAAGGGCTTTCTCTTCACACAGAGCAGCTCTCGTTCTCTGATCAGTGCCTGTGTCCACAGAAGTGGCATCTTCAGGGTGCTCAAATCCTAGATAAGAACCCTGCTGGGGAAAAAAAAAATGTGGGTCAACTTTGTGACAGCCTTCAAAACAACAACAAAGCCCTATGGCCTTCTATATATATTTTTAAACCATGGCTTTAATTACGAAGTATCCAAGGATTTGCTGCCTCCGAGCCTTTATCTGCCGTATCTCGGTCAAACCTCCTAAGGCTGCACTTGAAATCACACTGCACTAAGCAAACAAATGATTAAAGCAGAGCAAGGGAGCCAGGGGATTAGTAGATGCTGCACAGCCCTGAGCAAGTCATTTTTAGCTGCGAGGCCCTAATCTTACAGTGATCTTGGGGCACATGAAATACTTTAACGCCCACACAAACCACTCCTGGTTTTTCCTCATCTGAAAAACAGGGCTGATAATGCTACCTCTCTCTGAGAAGAAGCATCCGAATCATTAATCCACATTAAATGCCTGGAAACATGGAGCTTGAAGGCCATTAAGTACCAAACCACATTAACAGTCTGCAATGCCAGCAGGGTCAATAAGGTAAAATGACGACGCAAGCACCTCTTGTATTCAGCTCACCACCGTCACTAGAAAAATCTACTGTGATGAAGCTGCAAGTCTCCTCTCCTAACAACCAGCTGTAACTACAAATAGAATACAAAAGATGAGTGCCTAAATGAATTAGTCCTGAACTGCATCCTCTATCTCGTTAAATGCAGGAAGCCTTCACAGAGCAGTTTTGAAGGGCTAATGAAGGAGAAAAGCAAGCTCCTGGATCCCAGCCTTGGGTCGCCCGGCCTTCAGACAAAAGGCAGTAGTTCTGCAACACAGAAACAGAACTTGCAGCTGCCATGACTTAGAAAACACCTTTTAAATAAAATGCAAGACTTTGCTTCATCAGGACTGACAACTTCACTGTTCTATTATTCATGTGATGTATTTAAAATGGGACACTTCACCTGCCTGCTCATTGTAGTACAAGTCCATATCAGTCGTAACAGCAGTTGTCAGCTTTAGTACTCCTTTTCTATTTCAGTGTGTGTATGCATGGCGTATCTTACAGCATCACAAACATTTTATTTGCACAGATGAGACAGCTGCATTGTAAGTCCGTGCACCTTTCCCTAACAGAAGTAAACATGCATGAACTGAAAATGCACTGAAATATTAGGAGTGGATTCTCAGCACCCTCTTGTGGACTGGCTCTAGGATAACCACGTACTAACATCCACCAAATGTTGGTAAAACTTCAGAGCTACAGAAAAGTTATTTAGCAGCAGCACTATGGTAGGGAATGTGGATGGCAACAATTTTTCATGTATGATCATTCTTAGTATTTTAATAAAACCTGTCCTTACTGGAAGTATTTCTTCTTGTGCCACTTACAAAAATCAGCCCATTACTGGCTCTCATGCAACATATGAGCTGTAATGTCAGTTCAGTGGTGGCAGGAGATTTTGTTTCTTTTAAGACATGCATCTATGCCTGCAGGCTTAGTCAGGATCAAACCTGTCGTCATTTAGGGGGGGAAATGCCTTTGGAAGCAGCAGTGAATAAGTTTCTTTCCTGGAGCAAACAGGATGATCAACTTATTGAGATGCCAATAGCCAGGAGCTCTTCCAACTCATCACATCACAGCAACGCTTCTGTCAAGTCTGGGAACAGATAGGAGTTGAAATGTTGCTACTGGGTAGATGTGTTTTTCTGATAATGTGGCTTTTTTTTTTCCTGCAGTGTGCTTGCAGTAAAATACCCTGTGGAAAAGGACAGAGATAAGCGCTTTGTTTTAAAAATACACATATACAAGGAATGGAGAGTTGCCTCCTACGTGAAGCTGTTTTCCACACAATTACAGATCACACTATGTTTTTAAGTCCACCCCAAGGAATTTACAGAAGCCAGGGAATACTGCTACACCACAGGGCTGGCTGCAGAACATCTGCAGATGCCCCACTCCTGGATGGGGCTTTGGGCAGCCTGACCTGGTGGGTGACAACTAGCTCACAGCAGGGGTTGGAACAAGATGAGGGTCTCCTCCCCATGCATACTCTGATGATTCTATGATGATATGCTCCTCATAACAGGTGAACAAAGCTTCCCCTGATTCACCCAGATTCTTAACAATATTTTTATGTTTCTAGCGAACAGAATTTAATGAATGGTGTGGCTGATGCAAATCATTGGTTCAACCTAACAACTTCCATGTGTTCTAATCAAATCCCCAAAGCAGGTTCAATGCCTAAGCACATGAACATAACCAGAAAGCATTAACAATGTTAATATCACTCATGGCAAACCAGGTTTCCTGAGTACATTCATCAGATTCTGTTCCTCTAAAGAACACGCAGGTGCTAAAATATGCAAAGTGTTCCATATTTCCTTCTTTCTTGCATCAGCAATATAATTACTGCTCTAGGAATACTGAAACTTGAGATGTTTTTCCTCACATGCTAATAATGACTTATATTAATTGCCACTGTCCAGCTCTAGAAGCACAATTCTGCAGAAATGCTACTACGTTTTCCTTATGGCCTTCGCTTTTGCTATGCTCACCTTTGCAAGTCTGAACGAAGTCAAGTCTCACAAAATCAAAATGGTTTGAGGATAGCTCTGAGTCACGGTGCCCAGCTCCTATCATAGTGCCTACATACCTCCAACATACACCACTAATAACAAAATACAAATTCCCATCAAAATATATTTCTTTTATTAGACATCATAGCAAACATGATGTCTAATATTACATTTATTAGACTTCTTTTGTTAAGAAGTCTGTTCAGGCACACACATATATACAGTTATCTTTGAGAACGTTAACACTAGACATTAAACCACTGTAACCTCGGCTGCACTGGTTTTATTTCTTAAACATAAATTCTGTTACGTTGCTGTCCTTTAATTCTGTGTTCCCATCAGAACATTGCATGCTTCTGTTAGATTCTGCTTTAGTTGTGCAGTAAGCAAAGCACCTTCAGCAGCTTTTTGTATTGCAAACTCTCTGTACCAGGCCACAGGAGGCAGCACCTAGCTGTGTTCTCCTGTTACCTCCTTCAAGAGAAGATATAAAGTACAAACCTCATGCATTCAGAGTTGCATAAATTAATTTATTTTACATATAATTGCAATACAGATATAAAAATGCAGTCTTCTTGAAAACAGAGTTATACATACTGGAACAAAAGGAACAGTAACAGGGTCAAGCTTTTTAGCCCAGTTGTTGTTCCCCTTGCAATTGTAGGTCTTAATGGGTCAGCATACAACAAATAGATCTGTGATACTAAACTCTCTGTGGGCTACGAGCAGTGTATCAAAATTAGAGTATATATAAGTATATATACAGTTATATATATATAAGTATATATATATATATATACTTATATATATATATGTGGAGAGTATATATAAATTAGAGTATATATAAGAGTAACTTATATATTCCAATCAACTTTGTAAGAAATGCGAGTCTGAGGTCAAATATCCTAAAAGTACAGCTTCCAAAAGTGAAATCCACAGACATTATCAGGAGCTTTACCCTCTAGAGAAAATTGTTAGTTATGCAATCCTTCTCTTCCCAAGTCCTTGCATTTATTAAGTGCTAAGATCTTGGTCAGGAAAATATTTAGCAGTATTTCAGATGGCTTTCAGGTCCATAAATACGATCACACACTTAGGAAGAGGACAAACTCCTACTCACCGTGGTGACCAGGCAATGCAGAGCAGGCTCCTGCTCCCTCATGGCTTCTTTACAGTTCTTGGCAATTCTTGGCAATTGACAGAAGTTGCTGCTCAGGGAAATGGGAGCAGCTTTGGTGTGCAGTTATCCCTGCAGCTGGGTGACATGATTTAGGGCAGGCAGTACATTGATTTTCTATGTGACTTCACAGAACACACAGACAAGGCAGAGCAATTGATTGCTCATCTAAAGCAGAATGAATTGCACGCACAGTCACACCCTGCAGTTTCTGCCAATAGAATTTGTAATGCAGCTAAAAAACCTGTTATGGACAATACACTACTGCAGAACAACTTACACCTTACCTGAGCTTTCAGCTATTATCCAGACCATTATGGAATGGATATAAGCCAGAAGTTTGCATGTATACACATTACCTATATCCTACAGATATCTGACTGTTTTTAGGCTATGGCTCAATTTCTTTTACTCTGGTCAGACTATCATCATTTGGTCACTTACAATTAACCCAAATCTGTACATTTTCTATTTTTCAGTTATATATTTCTAGACTTTGCCCACTGTTGAGTAAATGTCTCTTCAGAAATGCAGCATATCTGGCTCCAGAAGAACGTCAGTGCAACATACTTTAATTCACAGACTATTTCAATTTAATACTAACTACAACGTACAGGAGTCTGCAAGTAGCTCTTATTTTTCCTTTTCCCTAATGAGCATACTAATACACATATGTAGTTTGACTTGGGATTTCTTTTTGTGCACTCTGATGATTAATTTCCATTAGACAGCAACAAGTGCAAAGCCTAGAAATAAATGAGTTTAACTCACACTTATCTAAAGTCAGCATAAGGTTTAGAGTCTTCATCTGCTAATGCCAGATAATGCCCAGTACACCAACTATTTTGTGTTTCCATCAGGCTATTCAGCACCCCAAAATACACAGTTTCACACCAAGAGATGCTAGCAAGTATGTGTATAGTTGTAATATGAATCCTGCAAGCAATGCCTGTCTATAAGGAAAGATTTCTCTCTCCCTCTCTGGGTAGGTATTTTTAAAATGAAACCAAAAAGATTTAGAAGTATTTTTCAGAATGTTTGCTCTCTGAGCACAATAAAAAAAAACCCAAATCTCTGCCATACAAGGAATATTGTATAAGTTTATTATAATTTACATCACAAGTGAAAGTATTTTATAATAGCTTAAAATCCATGGCAATCTCTCCTGTCTTTGTGTCAAAATTTATTGCATACGTGACAGCACTAGGAAAGTCTGCCAGAGTTTCTGATTCAATAACAGAACTGAAAAAATAGACAGCTTGCTTGCAGTGGGGATTCCATTCACAGTTTCCCTACAAGAAAGAGTTAAAAATGAAAGTGGTTACAATCCTAGGATGGATTACCTGGACAGTAATAATGCAGTAAAAACATAAGAGTTCTTATTTTCAGTTCAGTACAGAAAGATCAGATCCAATTTCTCACAATCATTGCCAGTCACTCGTTAAAGGAATGCGTAACTTGAAATCTAACATGCTCTGCTGCACATTGAAGTTACAGACAACAAACAGATTTGGTCAAACAATATTTACAAAGAGTACCAAAACCACCTCATCCTTCTCTAGTTTTTTCTTTCTGTTTAACTGGGAAAAGGAAGTTGTATGCTGTTAATAAGCAGGTTGTATTTAAGTCGTATAAATCTTACTTTGAACTAGCATCCTATCTGCATTCTGTACATGGTTCTCATCTACAGAAGCATTTGGAGCCAATTCCGACTCTTATGTTAAGAGTCTTCCCACAAAGATACAAACAGCTCTGCTAGTTCAGTTCACATAACATCCAAAGAGTTTATAAGAAGCACTATGTAAATCAAGCATGGCCAGCTGAGACTCATCTTTCAGCACTGTAATCCTAACAGACTTGGAGAGATAATGAAATTAGATTGAAGAAGTACCTTTTCATTTGAAATCTGCACCAGCCCTGTACTAACTGAGATATCAGCAGTAAGATGATATTCCATCCACAGAACTGCTCCATGGCTCTTTCCCTTTCTGGAGAGAGGCAGGGGATTAAAATCCATCACCATAGCATTATCTTTATATAACACTGATGTCTTTAAACACTGCACCCATTCCTCATCTAGCTGGGAGAGAGTGAAAGCTGTGAAAGCATGAATAACTTGTTTCTCTGAAAACAAACTGAACAGACGAATAATTTGGTAAATGGTTTGCAACTTCTTAAACATTAGCAGACATTAAATCTAAAAAAGAATGAAGAGGAACTTAAGTCATAACTGCATCTGCTAACAAACACAGCCATTTAACAGGCACGTAATAAAGCATGGCAGAAATGACATAGTGTCTCTGGAGAGTATCTCCTTTATAGACCTTCATGTTTCATTTTTATTAGTCACACAACCCATCTCACTTCAAGTCTGTGCTTGACAAGGGCAGGGGTCACACTGGCATACTGCCTCTAAATACAAGTGGTGCAAAGAGACCCTACACAGATGGTTTTGGGTTTTGTGTAACCATTAATTGGGCTTCACAATGGAAACATCTACTTACATAAAGCCTGCATGGTTACAAGTGACTTCCCCCGTTTTTTAATTTTTAACACCATTTCATATCTGAGCAGCAGTAATTACAATCTGCAGTTATGGTGAAAAGTATTTCAGATGACATGAAAAATACCAAGGCTGTCAGAATTACAGCTAAAGGGAAAGATCGTGTACACTTCAAAGCTACTAAACAGAATAATTTGAACAGCTAAATAGGAGCTACATCTGCAGGATCACAGCAACAGGGAACAAATTCAAAGACTGCAAACAAACAAAACCAATTTGTTTTGTGTAAGCGATAAATTAACCTGTTTACATTTTAAATCATAGCGACATCTATTGAAATGCTTTTCTTGAAATACAGGCATATTATCTAAATGATTACCCTCTCACTGTTGAAGCCTATTGTGAGTAGCAATGGGAAATTTCTGTTGGAGTAAATTCCACAGCTTTAGGTTACATTTTTTTAAATTGTTGCCTAAGATCCCACTAGTTAACACACACAGTTTGAAAACCATTTATAGCAATGAGAAAACTCACCGTAAAAGATTTACAGAGCCCTCTGTGCTGAGGCAGTGTTGTGGTACAGTCTCTCTGAAGTCAAATAACAAAACCTCCTGGGGATTGGAGAGTGACTTGCAAGGATATTCCCACAGAGGGTGAGGTTCTGCTTCCTTTGATTCTCTAAAATTCAGAGAATTCTGAAGAAAGAAAAAGTAATAAAATTATCTGAAAACAATCCAGAGGCAAATAGTCTCTGTATTCAAATAAGGCATTCTGACTTCAGAATATTTAAGCAATAAAGTTCCAACTTTGAAGTTCTGTACTTCTTAGGTAAAGGAAAACCTTGTACTGCATGCATGTACTAATTGCTAGTCCTCAACAGGCAGATAAAAATG